CTTCCTAGTGTCTGCACTCCCTGTGTGTCCGAGTGTGATGTCTGTGTGCTCACTTCCTAAGGTTTATAGACTGCCTCAGGTGAGGGTGTTGAGAAACAGCACATGGTGATTGCAGACCATTGCTGTAGAAATAATAGCGAACTTGGGCAGCAGGCCAGCGGTCAGAACCCCAGAGCCACAGGGTTAGAAGGCTTTTACTGTTCAAATCAGTGGCCAACTCTCCAAATACGTTTTGCCTTTCAAAGTTCAAAGTAGGACTCAGGTGCCATTGGACATAGCTCACCAATCTTGTGAACGGGCTCCAACCAAATGTCCAGGCCAGTGTATGAGCAGAAGACCAGTGTCCAGACCTGCTCTTCCTGTGGCTTAGCAGATTTAGCAGTGGAAGCACCTTCTGCGGTGGGCCTGGCATAAGTAGCGTGCTGTCACGGGCAGCCAGGGAGTCCCAGGAGAGTTGGGTCTCATGTCCTCAGAGGCCACACACAGGGAGAAGCCAGGTCTGAGCCCAAGGGCCCCGGCCACACATGTGTGCTGTTGGGGAAAGCCCCTCACTGGGGCAGGCCTGGGTCCTCGTCTGGGCAGGGCCAGTGCTGGGCAGGGTGGGCAGCCGAGCCACATCACGGAGTCTGGTCAGCCTCGGGTCACCCTTGGGAAGGCAGCTGTGCTTGGCTGTTCCCCAGCACGTGTGAGTGGCATCCTCTGTCTCTGTGCCCTCTGGTGTGTAGCAGCACTCTGAGGTGGCTCCTCTGAGCTGAGCTGGGGGTGGGCCCCTGGAAGGCAGTGGGGACACCAGCCTGGAGTTGTCCCCGGTGCTTGCCTTGACTGTCTCAGCGTTTCATGACCAGCTTTGCTTCCACTGGCCTCTCTGTGAGACCGTCTGCTGATTCCTCGGCGAGGATTGGGCATCTCTGCAGCTCCTAGTGCTGCCCGATGTCCTGACCAGGTCTCAGCTAGGACAGGCCAGGTGGCAACCTCAGCTGTCCTCTGCTCTGGCAAGGGGACGGTACTCTGGAGAGGCCCACCCCGCCACGCCTGAGGGGTCAAGGAACAAACCTCATAATTACTTGAGACCTCTGTGTCCATCAAGGACCCTGGCCAGGGTGGCAGGAGCTGGCCTTGAAGCAGACTCTCGGGAGGACAGGAAGCCAGCAGGTGTGCGCTACAGAGAGGGACACGGCATGTCCCTGCTGTGCCTGGAGCAGCAGCGGCTCCTACTGAGGCTGTCCACTCAAGGCTGTGTGTCCTCCTGGCCGTGTTATCCTGGCCATGTCCTGGGTGGTGAGGTCACAGGGCAGGGGTCAGTCACCACCTCTTTACCGTGGGCAAGGACGCTCATCACATGAGGACCCGGCACTGTGTCTTGTCTTCTGCAGCTGCTGCCTCAGGACCAGGGCAGGGCAGGGGCGCTTGTCTGCAGTCCCGCCTGCTGTTGGTCCCCTGTCCTCAGCAGTGTGCCTGCCCCCTGCAGACACCCAGGTGAAGTCCTGGGCACCTGTGCCTGGCTTTGCTATAGGAGCTGCACCCCACCACCTGCTTGTCCTGCGGAGGCCCAGCTGGGGCTCTGGGCTCTTCTGTCCTGCTCCACCTGACTCGACCTGTGACCCGGGACCTGGCTCACTCTCTTTACGCTGGTTGCTGCTTGGGACACTGGAGGCCTAGTGCCACTTTAGGAATAAAGCCCAAGCAGGGCCAGCCTCCAGAGCCCCGAGGACCCACGGAGGATGGAGCGCCTGGCCCCTGCTCTGTAGTGGGTCGCAACCTGTGGAGTCCTTCCCTCGGTGGAAGCAGTGCAGAGGCTGTGCGCTGGAGGAGCAGGACACGTGCTGCAGTAAACGGGCCTTCAAGGACCAGAGCTGCTGCCGGGACGGGTTCAGGAGCTGGGGTCCCTGGGGAGTCTCCAGGTGGCTTCTGCAAGGATGCCTCGTCCCCTCAGGACACCCCCCACTGCCCACTCTCCCATTTCTTCTTATCTTTTTTAGTTCCAAGGGTTGAACCCAGGGGCGTTTAACCTCTGAGCCATGCTTCCAGACTTTTTTTATTTTTTATTTTGAGACAGGGTCCTGCTAAGTTGCTGAGGCTGACTCTGAACTTGCAGTCCTCCTGCCTCAGCCTCCCGAGCCTCTGGGAGTACAGGCTTGGCCACTGCGCCCAGCTGTCTGGTTTCTTACAGGGAAGCCAGCAGCTCTCTGTCCTATGCACTGTAAGGCCCCCTCAGCTGTGACCCCTGTCCCCCCAGAACTGCTCGCTGGGGAGTCTGTCTCAGCCTCAGCACTTGGTACAGTCAGAGCACCCATTCCATGCTAACTGCATGATGGGCCTCCCAGGCTGGTGACGGTGCATGGGGGACACTTCTGCCCAGCAGGCCATCAGCCCAGGAAGGGTCAAGTGTCCACTGCGGTCAGGGTCATTCTTGCCATGACACTGGAACCTGCACGTCTGCTCTGGAGTCACTCACCAAAGACATTGGCCTCTGGGGTGGGTTACAGGAGGCAGGTGCAGGGTCTGAGGTCTCACCATGTGAAGGAAGAGAGTAGAGCATCAAAATGCAAAGTGACAAATGCCCAGCGGTCTGCCAAATGCCAGGTGTGGAGAGGAGAGCACGCACCCAGCCAGGGGCTCTGGGCCCCATGGAGGTCCAAACCCAAGTTCGGCAGCCCAGGGCACTGAGAGGGAGCAGACCCACAGCAGCAGATACAAAAAATCAAAGAGCATCATCCACCCCTGGCCGAGGGCGTCTGCCCACTGACTGGCTTCCGATGGACAAGCTGAGTTCCTAGGGCAGTGTTGGGAAGCTTGTGTGGACAGTTTGGTGGCTGACGTGACTGTCCCACTCTGGCCTGCTGAGGCCGAGGAGGAGCTTGGTTTTGGAAAGTGCTCGGAGTTGGCAGCACCGATGGAGGGCAGCCTGGTGTGTAAGCTGGCCGCCCTCGTGGGTCAGGCTGTAGGACAGTGACCACAGATTGTCCCTGGCTCAGGGTCATGCGCCTCCTTCGGGTTTAAAGTGGTGCAGTCGTCCTGTTCCCGGGGGCGGGGGTCCACTCCGCAGGTCCTGGCAGATGCTGTCTCATGGCACTGCTGCCCGGCCTGGGAGGGGACTGGGCGTGGACTGGGCCTCTGCCTGCCCTGTGGAGCTGGGAGAGTGTCAGCCCGTCTCAGTGAGAGCCGAGCGCCTGGGCGCAGACTGGCTGGGGCTGCAGATAGCAAACCTGCTGGTGCCTGCGTGCTGCTCGCTCTCCAGGACGGGCTTTTGTTACTAGAGTGGTGAGAAATCAAGGAAGAGACGTTCCATACACAGGTCTAGAGGTACACGCCCCCCGAGGGTTCTCTTAACACAGGCACTTTCTAAATTAACCCCATTGATTTGAAGCAATCACAGCTGATTTTCATTCAAATTAGTGCCTCTAAGATACATTGGCAAGCTTGATATAAACGATCATATTATAAAAAATACAAAAAGGAAATGATTGTCTGAAAGTTATCATTATAAAGCAAAAAAAAAAAGATGGATTCATGAAGGATTCAGAAAACAAAGTCAGAAGGTATGCAACTTGATTTCACAGTTCTCAGTCTAGCCTTTGCACAGAAGCTCAGCGATCAGGAGACGCTCATCTCTGACCCAATCATCTTTTTCCACCAAGTGGCCAAGCTGTCTGAGCTGAGCAGCACGGCCAGGGTGCCCAGGCTGGTCCCACCACGCAGGGCCAGAGGCGTAGGCCCCAGATGTCCTGTGTCCCCTCCCTCCCTGTAGTCTGCCTGGACCCCATGTTGATCAGTGGCAGTGCTGGGTATCTGTGTTGATAATTCGCATTCTGTCCCTTGAGATCCTTAAGAACATGTTCTCCTCTCTCCCTGTTTCGCATGGTGCCTTTCCCTTCCCCATCTTAAGTGGAAAGCTGTGCCCGAGGTCATGGATGAAGTCCATACTCTTCATCAGCAGAGCAAGCTTTTTTCTTATACTTATTAACTTTTTCTTCCTGTCACTTACCTTTAATCCATAGCAACCTTGAGTTATGAGGGGGATTGACATTAGCCATAAAGAAAAGCCAAACAAAAACAGACTGTTGCTGAATAGCCACACTGGCCCCAAAGAGAGTCAAACAATCACTGTAGTACTCTTTGGATTTGAATCATTGGGAAAAAAAAATCTTATTATTTTTCTTTCTAATCTATCTGTCCATCTATCTATTTATCAATCAACCAATCTCTTTTGTGGTCCTGGGACTAGAATCCAGGGACTCTTTTTCACTGAATTACACCTCCAGCCCTCTTGGATTTTCTATTTTGAGACCAAGTCTTGCTAAGTTGCTGCGGCTAGCCTTTGGACCTCCGGTCTCAGCCTCCCCAGTCACTGGGTTACGGGTGTGGCCACTTCACCATGCATTTTTTTTCCTAAAGTAGTCATTTCAGGCAAAGTAAAGCAGAAGAGGAGCAGTGGTTTCCTAGTACTTGGGTCATTTTTAAAACCTGTATTTGAGACAAAGAAAACTCCTAATTATTTAATGTTTTTGCAGTTTGCTAAATACATTTGTATCTACCCTTCCACAATGTGTTTCTGTTTGCCCCGACATGGCAAGGAAGATAGGGCAGGAAAACAGAGTCATTGTTTTCCACTTTTTTTTTTTATCGAGTAGATATGAATCAACAATTAATCGAGGAATTTGGCAGGACAAACATTGCCTTTTATCTGTTGACTAACTGAAGGCTCTTTACTAAGTGCCCCTGTCCAGGACGTTGCCAAAATAGGTCAGAAAATAAGCAGCCCCGCCCCTTCCAGGGCCTACCCCTGGAGCAGAGGAGACCCCATGGGGGCGGCAGGCACCCAGCCTGCGCTTTGTGTAGGAGACGCTGGCCAGCCTTCGGGCGAGAGGCCATCAGTCTTCTGGCGAGAGGCCATCCGTGGTTTGGTGGGAAGGACGTGTCCTGACTCCTGTAAGGGATCCCTGGTTGCCCCCTGGTGCAGGCCCCGGGTGGGGAGGGCTGCACAGGGCGAAGCAGAGGGGTGCCCAAGTGTGGACTCGAGGCTCGGGGTAGGGCCAAGCTGCGCCTGGCCGACAGGACAGCAGGGGGAGTGGCAGGGGTCAGCATGAGGACGCTCTGGCGCTGAGCCAGAGAAGCTCCAGAGCAGCACCAGCCTGTCCCGGAAGGAAGGGGACGACCGTCTGGGGGACGGGGGAGTCTAGTCCTGTTCCCTAGAGTCCCCCACTGCACACCTAAGTGGGGAGCTGGGGGAGAATCTGACTAGGGAGAGAGGGCTGAGGAGGTGCCGCCTGCCCCCAGGGCACCCTCAGGAGTGGTCTAATTTGAAGCCAAGAGGCTGACCTAGCCCACCAGTGAGTGGGTGTAGATACGAAGGAGATGAGGCCCAAGCCCACCAGAGAGCCATCTTCAGTGTCAGGAAGAAGGAAGGAGGAAGGGCAAAGAAAATGGAGAGGGGGGCTGCCCTCCAGGTAGGAGGAAGCCAGGGGAGTGGGAGGGCCGCCCGGAACTGGGAGAAGGAGAGGGTGGCCGTCAGGTGGGCCAGGTGGAGCACTGAGCAAAGATGGGGTCAGGAAAGGGGAGGCAGGAGGACTGCATATGAGAAGCTACCGAGACACACAAGTTGAGGCTCGGAGTGAGAAGGAAGGAGAGACCCAGGTGTTCCCCAGGGTGTGGCCGTGAAGCCAGGAAGGACACAGTGCTTCTCCCTGCAGCTTCGATTTTACCCAGATATTTGGGGGAAATAATTTTGAGACACACATGGTGATTTTTAATGATTTTAAGTGAAACCAAAGATTTCCAGACCTTGTACAGTACATGGCTCAGGGCTTCCTTCGCAGAACCTCGTCTCCTCTGGGAACGTGGGGAAGGTCCTAGAAGAAAGTTCTCTGGGGTCAGTGGACTTGGCCCAGGAATTCAGATTAAATGAAACACTCTTTAGTTGGACCTGAGCACTGTGATGTCAGTGTGCAGAGAGCCTCGCAGCCCGGCTCCTGGCCTGCCTGAGGCGTCCCCGTGTCCTTCCACACGGAGCCTGCTGGCCAGCAGCACCTCACTAGAGCAGATGACCTCCCTGAGGTCACCGTGAGCCTCCTTTTGTAATGATGTCTCTTTCCCTCCCAGCCCCCAGAGGCAGCACCGAGGGCTCCCCTCCAAGGCAGGTGAGTGTGTCTCTGTTGGAGCTTAATGACCCGCTGGCTCACAGCATGCTGAGATCCGAGGACACCTCTCGGAGCAGCAGAGGAAGGACCTGTCCCTGTGGGCCCGCGCCCCGCCCACCAAGTGCCACCCGAAACCACCAACTTGCTGAATCATTCAGTCACAGATTTTGCCCTCCTTTTATCATTTAAGGACAATTTCTGAGTCGGCTTGTTCTGTGGAGTGGCTGTTTTCCAGCTGTCCTCTGGGTGCTTGAAGTTTATTTCTTGCATTTTCAGGAGAGGGCAGGAGGAGGACCGAGCGCTGAGCTCCCAGAGGGCTTTCGGCTTCTGCCTGGTATTTGCAGACGTGTTCTCTGTTTCTGAGTCTCATCTTATAGAGGTTAAGGGATGCCACGTGGTGCCTCTCTCCAGCACCACGTGCCGCAGCCAGGACAGAGCGTTTTCTAGCAGACCTTTGTCCCTCCCTGGAAGGCGGTCCCTTCCCATTTGATATCTGTAGGACACCCTCAGGCAAGCCCCTGGGTTGTAAGTGGGGACCTCCACATGCACCTTGGTTGTAATTTAAAACTGTTTCATTAGGAAAGACTTGTAAGATTCGTTTCACGAATGTTTATGGTCTAACTCTCAAATCCCCCTGCAAATCACCTACTTGAAAAGCGGCTGCTGGGAAAGCAGGTGTCCAGTGGAGCTCTGGGGCTCCCAAGGACTGCCTTCCTTAGACAATGAAAACCAGCCTGGATCTTCAGCCTTGTCCCAGAGAAAGGAGCTGGAGCAGTGTCCCCGGCTTGGCTCGTCCTGAAGGTGCAGTCTGGCTGTGTCTTCACTAGGGTGGCTGCCGCTGCAGATGCCACCCTGGGAGTAAGGGCTGGGACTTGCCTGTGACACTGTAATTGAAGACCATTGGCATTTCTTTGAGAAACGGAGTGGTGCCGACGACCAAAGCCTGTGGGTGCGTCACCATAGGCAGGACTGTCAAGGCAGGCGTGACAGGCAGACGCAGGAGCTGATAGAGCACACAGCCAGCTCCTTAGTGTGTCCGAGCTGTGGTCAAGCTGAGGCTGAGCCAGGATGCAAGTCTGTCTGCAGTAGCTGGGAAGCGTGCCCAGGGCTCTTGTCATGGTGACTAGTTGAACTAACCCGTCCTTGGCTTGGTGTGCAGTCGAGTTCTCTCTTCTCGCCACCTCCTTAGATCTTTATCAAGGGGAACGAGGGCAACCCGGAAGGTGCCTAAATTTTCAGAGTTTAATAATCCTAAGTAACACAGCAGAAGCCAGGGTGAACTTCGCCTGAAGGGACTGGTCCCCGTGGAGAGGGAGTGCCGGTGGGTGGCTCCTGCTTCCTTCCTCCTCAGTTACTTCAACAGGAAGTTAGGTGCTGACCGAGCAGGAGATCTGCACTGAAATGCTTTTCCAAGTGCATTTCTTGAAAAGGTGAAAAGGAAAATTTAAAAACCAACTGTGGCTTTATCAAATTTGAAGCATAAATTAGCTTATAAAAGCCGTGTGGGTGTGATGAATCTAAGGGAACAGGAGAATCTGCAGAACACCAAGGTATGGCCCCCTTAGAACATCTGAGTCAGTGCTGCTGTCCTCACTGGGTGTTTCTCCTGGCACCCTGGCCGTCTCAGGGGCCAGTGTGAGCGCCGTCCAGGACGCTCTCGTTCCACAGGCCAGCGCTCTTCCCTCCCCGGCCTTCCCTCCTGGGGCCCGTCCATCTCCTTCCCAGGAGGCAGGTCTTGGTCCCGGCAGATGCACACCCTTCACACTCCCCTCTTCTCTTTTTCAGCCGAGGAAGCAAGGATGAGCAGCTGGCCCTTCCGTGGCGGTTTCTAGACATGTGGGAGTCTCCCTCACCAAAGAGCGATTTAAAAACAAGCCCATAGTATTTGCACTTTGTACTTTACATGTAAATCCACTTGGTAGAAACGAGATATTTAAACGGACTGTTTGGATCTGGAATGTGGAAGGCTGGCTTCAGACGAGTCCTCACATACAATGTATGTGTCCTTCGTCCACCGTGGAAACCTGCGCCTGGCGGACAGGAGTTTGGAAAGCACGGAGCTTCTCGGCTCTGCCCGGGGTAGCTGCTGGCAGCCTCCTCCAGGCCCTCTGCAGCCCTGCCTCGGGCTGCCCGCGCTCTTACAGTCCACAGGCGCCAGCCTTGTCCCCTCAGCTGGGGCTTCATAGAAGTGTCACTGAAATGGAGTTCGTAGGTCTTGCCCTTACTGTGCTCGGACTGGCTGTTTCTTGGGATTCTGTGCCGGTCTGTTCATTTCGCTTTCCCGAGGTCTCTCGCACCCGATGAGCCAGGTCACCAGGAAGGACCGGGTCCCCAGGAAGGAGGGCAGAAATGGCTGGGGTGGGGGAGAGCTTTCAAACTTCTTCACCTCCACTTCCAAGCTTCTCTTTGGGTTTTGCCTTGGGCTCAGATAAGTCCAGGCAGGCGGCCTAGAGGGGCCCTTCCTTCAGAAAGGGGACCCAGGCTGTGACTAGGCCACTCCTGCCAGCCTGCTTCTCTGTGCCCCCAGGGTCCCCTGGAAGACAACGCTGTCCCTGAACAAATGGCCCCCAGGAGGCATGACGGCAGAGGTGTGGGCAGGGTGTGGACTGGGCCTCAGGAAGGGCTGCGAGTCCTGCTCCGCACACTGCTGAAGGCTCAGGGCAGGGGCCTTGCCAGAGTCCATCTGTGGCACAAGAGGGTCAGCAACTGCGTGCCCACTGTGAGCAGCAGAGTTGGCTCTCATGGCCACTGCCACCCTGGACCTGGCCCTAAGCGAGAGGTGTGAGGCCAGCCAGCTCCGACTTCTGTAGGAGGGCCCTCGTGGCCTGGTCCCCCGCAGGGTCCCGTGCAGTCATGACCCTGAGAGTGTGTGGAGAGGCGTCACGAGGACTGTGCCGGGAGTCCCAGGCCAGCTCAACGAGCGTCAGCATCGTCTAGGAAACAGCTGTGAGCCTAGTTGTTTTGGATACTCGTTTATATTGCTGAACTTTGAAATTAATCATTTTTCCTAGATTAAAATCAGACATGTGATCAAACTGCATTGAGTCTTGTCTTTCCAACCAACACGACTTGATACTTCTCAATGGGAAAGGTGTGTGCTGACGTGCAGGCAAAGCCAGGCTCTGGGCCGGGAGGCACAGGGCTGAGACGCAGGCCTTGCTTCTGGCCTGGCCTCCCGCGGTGTCCCCCTACAGCTCAGGGACGCTGCCATGCACCCCGTGGGGGCGGCTGTGTGGGCAGGGTGGATGCACAGGGCTGGCACCCAGGTGTGCTGGGCTTGTCAGCTCCTGGGGAGCCCAGGCTCAGGAGAGGGCTGCAGCCAGAGGCTACGGGACCACAGAAAGGTTCCCTCGTCCTGATGAAAGAGTCACACTGCGTGAAACCCGGAGGGGACACTCCCTTCCAGCTCCCACCTCTCCCAGTTCCCCTCCGGGTGCCTGCCGGGGCTACTCAGGGCTGTGGCCTGCTCCAGCAGCCTCGCTCCCTCCTTGCACCTGGAGTGCCGCCCGGGTCAGAGAGGACTGGTCTCTTGACTCAGCCTGAGCTTGGAGTAGGAGGAAGCAGGGCAGGCGAGCTGGACGTGCTCTCCGCAGGCAGGGGAGAATGGGAGGCCTGGGCAGGCAGAGGCAGGTCACTCTCTGCTGTGCAGCCTGGCCCCCGGCCAGGGCAGGGACCAGGCTGCAGGGTCGGTGCTGGCAGCTGGGCTCTGGCCTTGGGGACAGTCCTCCACGTCTCGGCATTTGGCTTGTCTCGCACCAAGGTCCCCACAGCAGCACCTTTCTCCCCAGTCCCCAGCCAGTCCTGCCTAGAGCCTGCCTTTCTGCCCACCTGTCTTCCCTGGGCTGCCTGCATTGTGTCAGTAGAGCACAGCTGAAATGCTCTCTCCTCCCAGGGCTGGCGAGGACACCGCTGAGTTGCGGTGTGAGCAGAACCTGTGGCTAGCATGCACAGAAAGGACGTGCTTCCAGACACACGCGTGGCCTATCTAGACCTGCCCTCCTGAGGGGACGTGGCACCCTAGGCAGCATTCATTACCCCATTACAGGAGGTCCCGATGGCCCCGTTCACGTCTCTGACTAGGGAGGAGTCGCCACCTTGCAGTCACGTCAAGGAAGCCCCTGCCCCTGATTAAAGGACGCATTTCCCTCTCCACCAGTCCGCTTCCGTCATCTCAGTTAATAAAAGCTCTTAAGTTTTCTGTTCTCCGCCATCTGATGGTGGCCAGGAGAGCCTCTTGGTGCTTTGGCCACTTCTCAGGTCTTGGGAGTTCCGTGCCTGGAGGACATGCCCAAGAGCTGCGCTCTGTGTGAACGCTGAGCAGCTCGGGACTGTGCAGAGCCTGCGTCTTTGCAGACAGGGTAAGACACGGAGGCTGTGTTCCCCATGTGGGTGGAATGCGGCTTGACTATTAATAGGGAAACCGTTCATGTAAATAAGACCTGGAAAGGAAGGCCTCCACAGCCCCAGCCGCCCTTCCGGGTGCGGAAAAGCCCCACAGATCAATGCCCTGGCGTGGAGCCCAGAGCACTCCTACCTGATCATAAGTCAGATGCACGTCCACTAATGACAGTGCTTTTCTTTGGGAACCTTCTCGTCTGGTCAGACCTTCACACTTGGGGAGGTCTGGGCTTGTCACCTAGTGGACCCTCTGCAATGTCCTCATCTCTGTCACAGCCCCCTCTGTGAGCTTTGCCAGGCAAAGCCCAACGTAGAGAGCCCACACAGCCCTTCCCATAGAGCCTGCATCAAAACACTTGCAAACTCACATCCCTCAGTGTTGTTTTGAGTTAACCTGCCCTTGAAGGGCAAGGGTGACCGTTGGGTGTCCCTGGTATTCCGATTCAGTCTTCTCTCTCCTCCACCCCTGGTTCCCACCTGGTCACCCTGCTTGCCAGCTTCTCGTGGGTGGCTCACCCACACATCTCTGCAGCCAGATGCTCCTCCTCCTCCTGTCTCCACAGCGGTGAGGCTGTTCCTCGGCCTTTTCCAGGCTGCATCCCATCCCCCTCACTCCGGGGGATCTCACTGTCTCTTTCCGCTCTGAGCTTGGGTGCCCCTGCCCCAACGGCTCCTGACCCCGGAGCCCTGCCCCATAAGGTACTCCTGAGCAGCCAGGTCAGCCGCTGGGCCTGGGCCTGGAGTAGGACCTGGGCAGTGCACAGACCTGCCTTCCTGAGGGGACATGGCACCCCAGGTAGCAGCAGCCTGGTTTCTGAGCCCTTCCAGCAGCACTCTCCAGAGCTGGTCATTTTCGTGGGTGTATTGGAAGGCCAGCATATCCGCCTCTCTGGGTCTTGGGGAACTCCACGTTCTCGGGCTTCTGCTGTGTGGAGTGGGGAAGTTCACAAGGAGCTGACCAGCGCCTGACTTTCCCATGCCATCCCTGTGCTCAGCCCGCCTGAGCTGAGCCTCCCTCTGTCCACCATGGAGCAACGGGGCCTTCAAAGCCACTGCCTCCAGTGACGGTCTCCTGGGACTCTCCAGAGCAGGATGCATTCGGCTAACTTATTTGCTTTTCCTTTTCTGGAATCCTCCACTCGGGTGTCCGAAGACACCCTTCATCCTTTGCTCATAAGAGCCGGCTCCAACAGCAAGGCAGGAGTGACAAGAGCGCTCGACAAACGCTTCTCGGGGTACAGCTGCTGGTCAGGGTGGTTGGAGAGCTGGTGGGCGAACGTGAAGCACGCAGCACAGCACCTAGTGCACACACCTAGTGTGCCGCAGTGGGATTGTTCTCAGCAAACTCCACAGATCATTTCAGCCTTTTACCAGGAATGGGATCACACCTCCAATGGACCCACGTCCTGGTGGAAAATAAGCCACTGGCCAAAGGAGGAGTTGAGCTATATGGATTACGCTGAGAGCATGTCACTTGGATACTCAGGAATCTGGGTTTGGGGCTGGGTCAGTGGCCAGCACCTGGAGAGGAGTCACACTATCGTCCTGGGTTTGACGAGACACCTTCCCCCAGCAGTGGCCAGCGTTTGGGAAGGACTCACCGTGGAGGAGAGGAGAGCTGTCACAGGAGCTGTTCTTCTCACTCCCTTCCCCCCACTATCTTAGGGTTTTTCATTTTCCGTATCTGACAATTGTAACTGAAATGGCAATGCTCCTCACTAGCACATAACTGCTCGTCCCCACTCATTCCTCCTGTCCTGGGACAAACACCTTTCTCTCTTAGAAAGAAGTCTGTAGGTCACCACCTCCTCCTGCCCTCTGCAGGGATGTGAAGCAGCCGGACGTACAAACCCCCTTCTATGGCTTCATTGCTCCGGCGACCGCTCTGTCTGGTTCTTCTGATTATTCCTCTACTGTCCTAGATGATACCGGCACATGCACAATAAACAGCCAGCCCGTACCCTGTGCTCCGAGAATAATTGGCCCAGGACTGATAGGTACCCTCCCTTGAACGTGGCTTCCGTTTCCATTCTGTTCAAGAGCAAAGAAGATGCACTAATGTCCCCCTGATTCCCAGATGAGATGTTTGTTCTGTGGGGCTGAAGCTCCCGAGAGGGGCTTCAGGACAGAGGACAGAGGGGCAGGACCTCAGGTTCCACAGCTGAGGTCCTGGGAAGGCTATGGTCGTCCACTTAACTGCAGACACCTGGTCCCGGCACCAGTTGTAGGGAAAACTATAAAGCACACACAGATGCAAACGCTTCCTGCAAGAATTGTGAGCTGGTGCTTGACATGTGAATGCCTCCAGATGCCAGGCTGATTGTTTGAACCCAGCTACGCATTCTTGATGTTTATAGTTCCTTTAAAATCAACATTTCAATTTAAATAGTGAAATAAGATACTCGTATGTCATAGTATTTGACTTTTTTTTCATACTCACAACCACAGCAGTGCTGGTCTCCTGGTCCCTATTGGGATCTCCCAATCCTAGCAGCACATCACGGCTAGAGCCTCGAGACCCCCCCAGAGCTGGCTGCAGCTTACCAGGCACCCAAACAGAATTCACAGAGGCCGGTGTAGGAAAGGCCGACCCACTGTGACCATGCTGTCCCTAGATGGAGTCACCTCCAGCACAGTCGTCTTCTACATGTGACAGATGTCTGTCCTCGTCCGATTTCAGTGTTCAGGTGCCCACATGGTCCTCCAGGGGCCCTGAGCACTGCAGGCAGAAGGTGCAGACCCCCGCTCTCTCACCCACGTGAGCAGGGGCTGGTAATCGTGGCTGAGCGTGGACAGTCTAAGCCCTGGCGCCCAGGGTGCTGCAGGGGATCATACATCCGCCTCCAGGTCTCACTGTGCCTTCTAGGCAGACGCAGACTCGCCACGTGTCATCGCTGCCCCTCATCGGTTGAACAGAGCCAGCGTGATGCTCGCCTCTCTTTAATCCACAGGACATCCACAGTCCTCACTGGTGTCACAGTTATTTTTGTGACAGTGCCACCACCTTGTTCTTATGGCACACAGTTGGGCACTTAAGCCATTGGGGTTCCTTCCCCCTGGTCTGGGCCTGGAGGTCTGACACCAAGATGCGCCCGTGGTCAGGCTCGGCTCAGGCCTCAGCTCCTGGCTCACACACGGTCCATCTCTCGGTCACCTCGCATGGTGAAGACGCAGCAGAGGCCATCCTCGTGACCTCACCTGAACCTACTCACCCCCAAAGACCTCATCTCCAAACACCTCACACTAAGGTGAGGCTTTGGCCACACATTTGGGCGTGCAGAACTCAGTCCCTATCGTGTTTCCCATAAGAACCATTTGATGTGAGCTCAACATTTAAGGTCAACTCCAGAGGACCAGGTGAGGTCAGTGGAGCCTGCACAGGGATGGGTGTGGTCTGGAGCAGCAGGTGTGCGCCCTGCAGAGGGGACGGGAACGTGAACACAGCAGTGTCACTGTGAAAGTGGGACTGGCAAGGGCCCGCGGGATCCACATGCCACCAACCCACTGTGCACACCTGAGAATTCAGGACCACGGGCGAGGGAGCCCTCAATGGGGAATCGGAAGACGGGACCAGCATCATTTCCAAACTCAGAGCAGACTCAACCCGAGGAGGGGGTCTGAACCAGAGCAGAGGCCT